CTTGATCTCTTGCCAACATTGCTCTGGGTTTGCAATGCGGCAATAAGAAGCAGACTCCGGGGGTATTCCATAAACCTCGTTCACCATCTGCAAACCAACATCTTGGATATAGTTGCAGCTCTCGAACAAAGTGCACGTCTGGGAGGTCTTTCCAAACAAGTAGAACTGACATTCAGAGTTGGAAGCACAGGCCTTTTGACATGACTCCAAGTCCAGGTGTATGAAGTGTCCCACAGAGGCCTCGGTTTTCGTGCGCAAGAGAAAGCTGTGCATAGAAAGGTTTTCAGGTGGCTGACATGGACGTGAACCACGAACGATCAACAACTTACGTCTCCCGGTTCTTCACCGGTTCCGAAAAAGGCGCCGCCCAACGCCGCTGCTGGGCGCCCGGCAGTCGCTTCGCAGGTGTAAGGACCCGAGAACAAGAGCTGGTCAGAAACCTCAGAGCCGAGGTCTTGGAAGAAAAGGGATTCACTTGGCCCTTGTGCCGCTTTGATCCGCTTTGCTCATGTTATGCTCCTCTTGTGCCCATGTTTCACGGAGCGGGTTTAGCCTTTTCGCACACACATGGGCTTCCTGTTACAGCCAATGAGTCGAAGCCGAAAACATCCAGAACAGATTCAGAAAAAGAGGTTTGGCAAAGAGTGAACAAATAAAACATAAAGTATGTCAGGATATGTCAGGTACTACAGTAATCGTTCAGGTATGCTTCAACACGATGTCAAATAACAATGCTAATAAACAGGTTAGTATGACAGTCGACAAAAGGGTGGGTGGCTTTGCGACCACAAACAGCAGCGTGAATACTTCAGCTCGAACTCATGTTGGGTGATATTTAGGAGTAGTTGTTAAATAACTAGTTAAATAGTTAAACATATATCCCAGGTTTAGGGAGCCTGGAAGCCAAAAAGGTCCAAATTTCGCCATATAATTATCGCGGCCGTAGTCCTAGGAGCCATCATGCCAACCGACAAGCCGAATTTGAACATGCTTGAGCCTGATGCTAGAACCAAATACAATCTTCGTCCCAAGCGACAGGTCCCCTGGCTGAAGCTTTTCTTAGTCCTTCCAGTGGCTGCCAGGGATAATGCTGTGCACTGGGTTTAGTAGGATGTTAAGTTAATGTTAGTCGTTCAGTGCTCCAAAAAGCGCACACCACACCTGGCCTAGGAGCAGAGCCGTTGTTGAAGTAGCCCTGCGGATTGCGTGGCACCGCTGCATCAGAGGCTTCGTCCACGGGCTCGATATTTGCATAAGCAGCCCCGAAGCATTCGCAAGGGTGCAATGAATAAATGCCAGGTTCGCTCAAGGTCCCCAAGAGCAAGTCCTGGCTTGGCTTCTCGCAGGGTGGCACCCCCCAAAGCCAGTGTGCCGTGTTGCAGTGCAGGAGGCTGATCATAGAGGGGAGTTGATTCAACCTCTCTTGGCAGCAAGCGCAAGTCGAAGGCATCTTGGCCATGCTTGAAGGCCTTGCTGACCACGTCGGAGTCAATACAAGCGATGGTATCCCCAAAGAACTCTGGCGCATTGATTAACGTTGAATCTTCGAAGTCGGAGGAGTTAATGTGGAGGAGGAGGAACCAGAATGACCTTGGTCCAGGAGTTTTGCAGCCCCAACTCTCTACATCTCTCTACCATTTTGTGAGGTGTGACAACCTCCTGCAAAGCTCGAAGTGCACGTTGGATGGTTCACGGCTCTGTCTACTTGACACGGCTCTGTCTACTTGACACCTATACCTTGACCAGTTGAAAGGCAGTCTGCTTCCTTCTGTGAAGAATGCAAGGAATGCATATGTTTTCTCCCATGCATTTATATTAGCTTCTCCCATCTTCCACCCCAAAACCAAATAGCAAGACTCAAGAGATCAAAGGCCCGAACTTGGATAGACCGTATGATAAACCGAATGATCTTTGGGACCCTTGGCTCTGTCAAGGAGCTTTGCACAAGATTCAGGGATTCGTTGCACATTCGGTCTCCGACCCAACACCAACTGTCTCTCAGGAAGCGATCCGGCACGAGAATACGAGGCATCATTCTGGTAGAAGTTCATCACTCCGAATTCTCCTTGAAGATACTGTGCTCCAGGCACGGTCAAGTTAAGGCTAGCATCTTGCTCTGAGCAATTGTTCAGCCGCACCAGCACCTGACCGTCCAAAAATGTTTCTTTCCCATCACTGACCATAAACCTGCAAGTGTCCTCCTTGTATTGGACGGCTGCACAATCGTCTCGCAGTCGGCATGTTTGGAGGCACTGTGGTTCCTGGACGGACTTCTCCTTCCAACGGAAGTGTCCCGAAATATTGCGGGGCACCCAACCTTGGACTGCAGGCACTCAAAACCATTCAGATGATGGCACAAGTCAAATAATAATGACTCTTATTGCATACTAAAGGCACCAAATATCGGAAACCCTAGCAGCATGCTTTTAGATGCTGTTAGTAGGGTACGCCTTTTGTTCTGATCAGACTGATAGGAAACACTTTGAAAACGGAAAGTTGCCTGGCAAGATGTGATCGTCTGTTGTCGAACTCGTTTGATCCAAACGGCATTGAAAGGGTGTATCCTTTCTTGTTGTAAGCAACCCTATATTGATGTACTGTTTGCTTGTTGTAAAAATGTCTATCACATCAGCGAATTCTAGTACTATAGCATTAGTATGGTTCAATTGCGAGGGGCACCTGGGAACTGCATCCAAACTGAAGAGTTGGTCCGTCACAAGTGCTTATGTCATTATATATATATATTGGGTGTTGCCTAATAGCTGTAACAGCGAGCACAAACCAGAGCACCATTTTTGCACGGTGAAAAACGTCAAAAAACACTCCCACCCAACCAAGGGATGCGATTCTTTTTTAGCCCTGGCTAAGCAAAGCTGTCCATAAAGTCACGGCCTGCCAGGAGTCAGGTTGGTCAAGAATTACCCTACACTTGTCCCAAGGTGCAAGAGTTCTGGCACAACTTTTCCAAAAAACAAAAGCACACGAAACCTTTTTCTGCCAACAATTGGTGCTGCGTGTTTGGGCTTTCCAAGGCGAGGGCTTCAAAGAGTGGTTGAACACAGACGATTACTTTGTTGAACTCATGATGAAAGAACATACATGCTGTCTTTTGTTCTTGGTTGTTCTTACAGTCTTACTTACATGTTACAACCTTGCGTTCCCTCGCTTGGGTTAGGTCCCTAGACCTTTTTGGTCTGTCAAATCTGAGCCAGCCAAAATCTGAGCCAGCCACTGCCAAACAAAACATTGGTTGACTAGAGGTTGTGTTGGGACTGGCTGGAAGCAAAAAGAACTAAAACAGAATAGCATCAGCATCAACATTCCAAGAAGAACCCAAAACTGTCATCATCAACACTTCTTTCACAACATTGAGGAAATTTAGCTGAAAGACAAGTAGTCACACGGGCCGGTAGAGCTGGACTTAGCAGATCTGACACTCGGCAATTGGAAATTGCAAAGACGCACTTCCCACAACTGCAAAAAAACGCTTTGAGAGAAGCAGGGAGCACACGTGGCAGGCTGCAGCCAACTGAAGATCCCCTGCCCAACAACAACACAGGTTCTTTTACTTTGACCTATTTTTCCAAGAAGGGCTGCAGGTTGCCACAGCACCACCTCAGTCCACTGTGCTCACGCAGTGGCTGCCTCCAGCCACTGCAACAGTGCTTTTGAAACTGTGACGCCGTTGCGCTCAAGCGTCTTGCGATACCTCAGAAAAAGAAAAGAACATGAATGCGTTCACATGGACCACGCAAAAGAACCACAGCGCAACTCGCAATCTCCACGAAACGTTGACTCTGCTTGCGCGCGCGCGCGCTGAAAACATAGTTGCCAGAGAATCGCTGGCTGGGTCCCTTTGATGCCAAGATGCTCGCGGCACAATGCCGAGCGCTCCACTCGGTTCCTGTTGGCAAAAAGCGGTGGAACAGGAGGTTGAGGCCGTGCACACTTGACGCGTATACCTTCACTTTCTGCAGCTTGGTGCTCAAGGCCTTGACCTGGCCACACTGACTCCAGCCAATTGTCAATTGGCAATCTATCCAGAGCAGCACACGCACCCTGGAAGTCCTCCAGGGATCCCACACAAGCCTCGTCGGGACAAACACTCCACAGCTTAAGACAACATTCGAGTGGCGCTAGCTAGCATCAGAATACTTCTAATCCAGCCAGGAAGTTGTCTGCGTCTGAGGAGCGGTCTAGTTTCTCCAGGGGGGCCTTTGCCAAATTGGTGGTTTCCATGCGCTCGTGACCAGCTTGTCACGAGACACAAACAGTGAGGTTTGCTGGTCTTTCGTCAGCCTGGAAGCAGAAATTCGTGAATTATATCTATTTTTTCTGTTATCTGTGAATTGAAACATTGTTCCTTTTTCTATTTACCAAAAACGAAAGAGAAACTTTCACAAACAATGAGAAGACTGACTGGAGGAAGTGACGCAACAAAAGTCTGCCTCCTTATCACTGGTTTGCAACCCTCACAACTAAGAATGAAGATGACTTGGCGCTGTGACTGCAGGCAGGTAGCGACACAGCTCCTGAGTCCAGCACCCGCTGGAACAGGCACCTATTCACCTCTTCCACCTTCTGCTCCCAAGCATCTTTCAGTCCATGGAAGACCTGCCAAACAAGAAACAATTAATCATTGAAGGCGTCCTCATTTTGCTGGCTGGGCAATCTGCACCATTCTCATTTTGGACACCTAAGGTCTGCTGTGGAAACTCTGCGCCGGCCTTGAACACCTGAAGCTGCTGGCCAGAAGGAGCTGTGAAGGATTCTGC